ATACAATTTTCTTTAACATCCTTATTTTACATATTTTCGTATCGTTTATATGCTTCTCTCCACAGAATACTTGGCAAAGATTGAGAACTACCGGTATCCTTTACGACGCAGTTCCAAACCCTCCATACAGAATTGGATATCCAATGCACGTTAAGGTATCGCCATGATTTTCTCGACTCCTGAGCTACAATTGCTCAGATGCTAATGAGTTCTGTGCGAACAGGTGGCCCGGCGGCGCTTCCAGTCTTCGACAAGCACCTCAGCGTTTGGTTGGATATACTGTGGATCCCATAACTTCAGCCCGGCAGCCTGGGGTCGTCTTCTTCCCCCTTCAACAGTGGAAGCAGGTTCTGCTGCAAGATTACGTATATTCAATTATGAGCTGGGCATCCTCTTAATTGTTCCCCCGCCCAGCAAGGTGGAAGGAGACTCTGGCAATTTATGCAATCTTGATGATTTTCAGTTGCCATTTGTGATGCCTGCGCCGAGGTACTGTGGCGGCGACAGGCCAGCTACAGCGTTTGCCATGCGAGGGGCGGTGGCTGAGTTGACGGAGCAAGACTGTCAAGGAATGGATGAGGAGGATGTTGCTGATGAGGAAGTAATTGGACCGTCGGAGTATGTTGCAGAAGAAAGTGAGGATGACAAAATCTATGCGGAGATGCTTTGGAGCCAGGTTGGTTCTTCTGATGGCTTTTGACTTGGTTTACTATACTTGTGTTTGCCGTTGCTGTCTTGATTTGTTTTTGGTCCAGCTTTTTTGAACGCTCAAATTTTATCTGTTTACAAAATATCACCACCAGAAACAATAGGTGTTTATCTTACTGCATGATGTCGGCTATATGAATCTTTTTTCTCTATTGTATGTTGTAGAAAATAAGATTAGAGAGAGTCGCCTTAGATGGTTTGGTCACATAAAACGGTGGCCTTCCGATGACCCGGTTAGGAGAGTAGATGTATAGATTTGACTTATGTTAAGAAAGGTAGGGGTAGACCTAAAAAAATTTGGTTAGAAAATATTAAAAATGACTTTTCTTTATTAGATTTAAACTAGAATTTGACTTTTAATAGGACACAATGGAGAAAAATGAATCATGTAGCCGACCCCACGTAGTGGGATAAAGGCTTAATGTTGTTGTTGTATGTTGTTAAGAATCATATTCTCCTTTAAATCTAATAAAAAAGGCCATTTTAAATATTTTCTAATTAAGGTTTTATTTGGGACAGATTTTTTTTGTTGCTTTCTAAAACGGCTTTATAGTACAAATTTTTAACTAAAAAATTTTGATATTAGAAAATAGCAAAAAAGTTATCCAAAATGAAGCCTAAATCTTTTTAGGTCTATCTCTATCAAAATACTATTTACAAAATATCACCAAACTATTTACAATAATACCACCCAAGTGGTAAAATCTTGATAAAATTATAATTTGGGTATTTTTATTATAGTAATATGGCAATATGTACTCTTATCTTTTCTAATACCGTCCATTTTTTTT